GGTGGCTATTTTTAGCAACCCGAACGCTTTCTCTTTGTGATGTCTGAAAACCATATCTTGATAAGAAATTTGCATAGATATGCGCATGTCTATGTGTGTGAGTGCGAGTGATAGCATATGAAGGTCACCAGTCTTTTCTCTGCTGCTCACCAAAGTGTGTAATTACTGAGAGGACTGAGAGCACGTAGAGCGTCTGTGTGTTCACAGAAGCGGTCACGTACTTTGCATCAGTGGTCCAACTTCTGACGGTGCCAGTTCACTCTGCCCTTGTTCCGCTGCTGCATACAATAGGCGCATGCAGGCTACATACTGAGCCCTGCAAGTGTGCCAGCTTCAGCAAAGCGCCGCGTGGCTGCAAATTTTCATATGAGGATGCAGAACGTAAGAGAGACTTGCAGCAACGGACTATAATGCAAAGCAGCTGCCGCAACTGCGGCTTTCAGCGGAGCACAGTCAGGATCCTCCTGAGGGAGTGTGCTCCCACCTGAGCCACACAAGCAGCAGGTCGAAGACTCACTTCTGTGAATCACTGTGCGTGTCTCCAGAGAAAGATTACGTCGAGGAGTCACTGCAATTGAATTCTTATACGGCTTAGAGGCTTCACGCAAAACTTATCATTAGGCACTGCTAAGAGGCTTTACATTATTCTTATTAGCCCGGCAGATTAAGGGCAGATCAAACAAGGATTGATGATGTTATGAGTGCGCTACATGCGATGCTGAGTAATGTTAGTCCTACTAAGGCAGTAAAGATGTGGTGGATACTATGAATTTGCACTTATATAAACATGACACATGATATAAAATATATATGAGGGTAGTTCATAATAAACATAATAATAATAATTAAGTTCAGTTTTATTCAGTTTTACTTGTGTATCCCTGCAGTGATCGGTCATATTTAAACTGGCCTGTGAGTTTCCTCGTCTTCGGCGTTGCGTAAATTGTAAGCCTTTGCTTTTTAACCCATTCGGAGCAAAGGCTCAGACCTCCCCCTCTAAACTGCGCTCAAACCCGTTTGTTAAAACACAACAATGTGTCTAAAAAAGGAAAGGAAATATCCACGTACCTTAGCAGGCGCATGCTATCAGCTCACAGTAAATGTCTCATACTGTAACGCCAAAAGCTCAGGAGGTGGAGAGGAGGTGCTTCGGTACCCGGCAGTGAGCGCTGTCGTAGCTTATTACGTTCGCATCGAGAGACAAAAAACTACCGGAAGACAATAAAAATACTGCGGGGTTCAAATGACCGCTGGTTTTAAAGAGTGATGGTCAGGATTCTTTTAATAGGAAATTTCCGAGCAGCAGTCAGACTGTGACTCAGATTTTGAGACTTGATCCAGAGCTCTCCAAGTGTGCACGATGAGCAACCGCAAGGTGGCATCTGTGGTTGAAGCTCAAGAAAGTTTCTGAAAGAGACCAACTTTAATTTTTCTGCCTTTTACATTTATCCGAAGATGTGCTTTGAGCCACGTGACTATTTACTGATTTAGGTGATGATTCATTTAATTCAGTGAAATTCAATTCAAGGAAAAAAAGAGTTTTATATGTTCACTTTTTAAATTTTTTTTTTTACAATTTTGTGAATCTCTCTGGAGATGATTCACAAACTTGTAATTTTTTATCAGTCAAAGAATACTCGAGTATTTGTACTTATCATTTCTCCATGTTTGTTCATACATTTATAGAGGCTATAGATATTTAATCCCCCCCGTCGTGCTAATACGTTGTGTAAACCAGTAAATATTATTAGACATTAATTAAAATCACAGCTTCCGGTTTTTATGGGGACAAAAAACAAACAAAAACACAAGACGCACACAATTAGTTAATTTAACGCTGTAGCGCTGAAGGAGTGAGAATAGAAAATAAATATTCTGTGGATAAGAAAGCTTGTTTCTCCCAAAAATAATTTCTGGTATTTCCTTTAAAATAAAAGAATGGAAAAAAAAAAGATTGTCTACTTGTTACTTGTTGTCCTATAACCTGTGAAACAGGCGTCAAACTTAACTCATGAAGGATATAAAGTTATTTTGACGCAAAAATAATGTTTTCTGCAATCACTTTGATCCGGCTAAAACGTCTCATTGACATTAAAAACGTATTTTAAAGAGTGATGTGGCCAAGAGTGCATCAGAAATTACAACACGTCTAACATATTGGTTTTATAAAGATATTTTAAGTGGCCAAAAAGGACGGAAACGATTATAATGTAGGTAGAGTTACCCGGAGTCATAAAGACACTCGCAAAGCAGGTGATTCATAAAAACTGCTCACTTTGTCACAGGGTGGGTGGGAGTAGTGAGGGTGATAGGAGCGGAAGGAGGAAGCACCGCCCCCCCCACCCCACCTCCACACAAATAAAAGCTCAACCTCGCTGTGGACTTTATTAATTTCAGCGTCGTCGTGCGCCAGAGGGAGTTGCAGACATGAAACAAACGTGGATCTCACAAAGTCTCCGCAGCATGAACAAACTCGCCGTGCCGCTTTTCCTGTTGGCCCTGTGCTTTCTCGTCGGGGAAACTGGTAAGCTGAGAAAACTGGAGATTATTTCTTACAGTTTTTCCATTTTATTTTATTGATACAGCACAAATCACAGCAACAGTTTAGAAGTCGTGATTTCTTTCTATTATTATTATGATGATGATGATGCCTAATAAGATGTCTTCTTGAGAACTGAATAATTATTTTTTATTAAACAGATAGTAAGTGTCCAACCTTATCTGTTACAGTTAACCCATGTTGCTCAGAGCCGTGCCAGAACAGGGGTGTCTGCACACCACTGGCCTCAGAAAAATACGAGTGTGACTGCACACGCACGGGGTACTACGGGCAAAACTGCACAACACGTAAGCGTGAACATGGAGTGAAACGAAAATGAAGGTGCATCTCTGGTGGTGACTTGATGGCTTGATTCACGTGCTCTCTTGGTCTCTTACAGCTGAGTTCTTCACCTGGATCAAAGTGTCTCTGAAGCCAACACCCAACACAGTCCACTACATCCTGACCCACTTCAAGGGTTTCTGGAACATCGTCAACAGCATCTCATTCCTCCGGGATGTCATCATGAGATATGTGCTGACATGTAAGTCTCGCTGCTCGAAGGCAAAAATGAAAAAGTGGATTGGAAAGTTTTTCACAGTACATTAAAACAATTTGCGCAGGAACTTGTTGTAGTGTTTATACTAAATGAAGGACTAATATGGGCTTTCCTTTCTCTAGCCCGATCCAACATGGTTGACAGTCCTCCAACTTATAATGCTGATTACGGCTATAAGAGCTGGGAAGCCTACTCCAACCTTTCCTACTATACGCGCTCCCTCCCGCCTGTGCCGCAGGATTGCCCAACCCCTATGGGAGTAGTAGGTGAGTACACTCTCTACCTTTGGAGAACCAGTTTTCTTAGATTCTTAATATACTGAACAAAACCGTCTTTGTCGAATTACATCATAGGAAGCGCGCACATTGGAATTAGCTTTCCTCTTAGATCAATTATAAAGTGGCTCAGGCAACTTGGAAAAACCTCCCCCTACAAGCCCAAACCAAAGAGATTAAGTTATTTTTTGCGTCAGAAGTATGAAACAGACCCAAAGAGCTGTGATTTTCCTATCATGCTGTTATGTGCTCATTGAAGTCTTCTTGTTCTTCCAGGCAAAAAGGAGCTACCTGATGTTAAAGTTCTGGCTGAGAAGCTCTTAATGAGGAGACAGTTTATACCAGACCCGCAGGGCACCAGTTTGATGTTCGCCTTCTTCGCACAGCACTTCAGCCACCAGTTCTTCAAATCTGACATGAAGAGAGGACCTGCTTTCACTGTTGCTAAGGGTCATGGGGTAAGTAGAGCCGAAGATCCCGGTTTTTGAAAAGCAAACTCATTTTAATGTGACCCGGTTTTAATTGGCGCGTCTTGTGCTGTCAGGTGGACCTCAACCACATCTACGGTGACAACCTGGAAAAGCAGCACAAGCTGAGACTCTTCGAGGATGGCAAGCTGAAATATCAGGTATGGGGGGGGGGAAAGATAGCTGTACTCGAGGCAGCCAAAGAGACCAGCTCATGTGCGTTTCTCACAGCAGTTTCCTCTTTTGCGTAACTCCGCAGATGCTCGATGGAGAGATGTACCCCCCTACAGTTAAGGAAGTGGGCGTCACGATGCATTACCCCCCTCACGTCCCAGATTCTCACCGCTTCGCCGTCGGCCACGAGGCATTTGGCCTGGTCCCTGGTCTGATGATGTACGCCACCATATGGCTCCGCGAACACAACCGTGTGTGCGATGTGCTGAAAGAGGTCCACCCACACTGGGATGACGAAAGACTCTTCCAGACCGCACGGCTCATCCTAATCGGTACGACAAAAGAAGTCCAGATACCAGCTGTAACGTAGTTGGGATTTTTTATTAAAAAGCTAATAATCATATTGTTAACAGAAGTCACACTACTTATTCACCTCCCAATGACCCTGTCACAGTGGAGCATTTCATTTCAGGAACCTGATTTACTGAAAGACTTGAGAATTTCTTGTAAACATCAGAAAGAGGAAATGTGTTTTCCTCTCATTTTGTGCTTACCCACACTCCAGACATGCAAATGAAGCATCAATAAGCACGATTTATTTTAAAGCAGAGAGTGTCTTCATTATATAAACCGTCACATTTATCATCTAACAGGTGAGACCATCAAAATCGTGATCGAGGACTACGTGCAGCATCTGAGCGGCTATCACTTCAAACTCAAGTTTGACCCCGAGCTGCTCTTTAACCAGCGCTTCCAGTACCAGAACCGCATCGCGTCTGAGTTCAACACCCTTTACCACTGGCACCCTCTGATGCCCGATAGTTTCCACATCGAGGAGACAGATTACAGCTACAAGCAGTTTGTCTTCAACACCTCCGTCGTGACCGAGCACGGCATCAGCAACCTGGTGGAGTCGTTCACCAATCAGATTGCGGGACGGGTAAGAACTCTTTACGCTCCGCAGCAGCAGCTAGACTGAAACATACAAGACCAGTGTTGCTCTAAGGATGCAGAATTGAAATTTATTTGTTTTGTAATTTAGGTTGCTGGTGGTCGAAATGTCCCCGGACCCATCCTGTATGTGGCCATTAAATCCATAGAGAACAGCAGACAAATGCGTTACCAGTCCCTCAACGCCTACAGGAAACGATTTTCCATGAAGCCCTACACGTCTTTCGAAGACCTGACAGGTGAGACAAATTCAGCACTTCTTGAAAATACCTGTTTGCTGAAAATGTGACAAAAACAGGTTCTTATAATTGCTGTCTCAGGCTTAGCTATTGCTAGATTAATATCTTTGCAATACGCTGATTCTTATTTTCACAAAGTGTGACTGAAAAACCCGCAGCTGCACAATACGGTTTATGCATTAGTTTACCTGATATTGAGGAAATGCCTCAGAGTCCCTAAGCAGCTGCTGGCAGTTTTGAAGGTTAGGTATTTATTTCCATGACTCTGAGAGCCAGATGGCCATTTCATCTTAAGGTAGAGTAAGCAGACTGTCATGACTGCAGGCGAGATATAAACAGACACGGGGAGTCCCGCTACTTTAAAGAGGAAGATTTAAACTTTTCAAGAGGTGAATGTCGATTAAAAACTAACTTTGACTTGCTGTATAAGTGAAATGGCGTGCATGCTAGTGGAAAGATAAAAATCAGGAAGTAAAGGCATAGGAAATCTGTCAAATCGCAGTGAGCGAGCCAGTGGGAAGGACGCCAGATTGTGTTACTGACCAAAACCATTTCCTTGTTTGCGTTATTCAGGGGAGAAAGAAATGGCTGCGGTGCTGGAGGAGCTGTACGGGCACGTGGATGCTGTGGAGTTCTACCCGGGCCTGCTGGTGGAGAAGCCCAGACATAACGGCATCTTTGGGGAAACAATGGTGGAGATGGGGGCTCCTTTCTCCCTCAAGGGCCTAATGGGAAATCCCATCTGCTCCCCGGAGTACTGGAAGCCCAGCACCTTCGGAGGCACGGTCGGCTTCGACATGGTCAACACCGCCTCGCTCCAGAAGCTGGTGTGCGATAACGTGCGGGGTCCCTGCCCCGTGGCGTCCTTTCATGTGCCCGATGTTAAAGAGACCGGGCCCATGATCATCAACTCAAGCACGTCGCAGTCGCAGGGCAGCGA